CGCAAGTCATATCAGTCGGGACCAGAGCATTTAATAAGACTTACGCAAAGTACAAGTTACAGGCAAACTTGTATAAATAGTATAAAATCCGATTTGATCGGTACTCCAGTGGCAGATCAGCCTGCCGCAGCCCTGGGTGTGGGCTGGACTGAATGTCACAGCTGGAGAGTATTGTCGTGACTGCCGTGAGCCCGTCAGTGGAGAGAGTGGAAGGCACTGCCAAATAGACTCCGAACAGGAGCTGAGATTGAGCTTCCTCAGTACAAACTTGCGTTGTTGTGAAAAATGATACAGTAGAACCTCAATAATCGGGTCACTCAAGTCTCTGGGCAAAGGTGACCTACTTAGTGAGGTGACCTGATTACTGAAACAGGTCGGGTGATTCAGGTCACTGATAAAATGTTAAGGGCATTGATAATGGGCGAGCGTGATGAACATTCAACAACCATACTTTGCAATCTCATTAAAATAAAGGCATTGTCACATTTAAAACAAAAGCCATCGTGTATCCAGCCTGCCTTTTGAGACTGCATCCAACTTGTGTTCTGCCAGTGTCAAAGATCACAGGTCACTGTCTATGACCTTTGCCTTCACTGTTTTTGATGAAGTCCGCTCTCTCACATAAGGACAACTCCTTCCGTGGTGGCAGGTTTGCAGCACTTACCATAGCATTGACGGCAGGAGCTCAGGTTAGGCCATGGGCGCCGGGCAAATTTGATTTCCCGCTCGCACCGCTTTGCGACCCTAACACTCCCCGCGCCGCGCATGCACGACCAGAGCTCACTCCGCCCACAGCAGGGGCGTCGAGGATACAGCGCGAGAAGCATGAGGCCTAGCGCACTGTGTACAGGTTAGTAGAGGAGAGGGATGGGGGGGGTTAGTACCACGTTTGAACAGGAGGAGGGTGCTATAGTGGACGCAACAATGACTGTTGTCCTGAATAGTGCTCGGTTTACTGAAGCAGGGAGGCAGCCTTCAGCCTGTCTTTTAACACTGACAGTGAAAGAGACTGTGAAAATGTGCCCGAAATTGTGAGGTGGTTGGATTACTGAGGTGACCCACACCAGGTTTCTACTGTACTTGGAGTCCTGTAACTCAGTGGTTAGAGCACTCGCCTTGCAAGCGAGACACTTGGGTTCAATTCCCGGCAGGGCGAAACCTTGGGCAAGTTTCCTTACTCCACACACCTAATAATAATCCCTCCAAAACAAAACAGTAATAAATTGGTCATTTTCAATCCACGACTGTTTGTGGGACATTGCTGTGCACAATTGGCTGCCGCGTTCGCCCACAAATATACAGTCAATTCACTTTACAGTATATTCTGTGAAGCGCTTTGAGACGTCGAGAAGACGTGAAAAGCACTATATCAAATGCAATGATTATTATTATTATTGGGTGGAGGATTGCAGTGTCTAACCATAATGGATACGGTCACTGACTTCATAATTCTCATCTGACCAATTAGAGATATTACACCTTCCACCTCATGAATACCCAGCAGTAAGTAGAAATCCGGTTTTAAGTCAATTGGCAGATCTCTTTTCCGGAGGTAATAATGCCTTCAAAAATAAATAATAATAATAATAATTTGGTCACTCAATCCACGACTGCAGTGCGCAATTGGCTGCCGCGTTTTTCCCACAAAATATAAAGTCAATTAATTTTACAGTATGGAGTCCTGTAGCGCAGTGGTTAGAGCACTCGCGTTCGCCCACAAATATACAGTCAATTCACTTTACAGTATATTCTGTGAAGCGCTTTGGGACGTCCTCCCGACGTGAAAAGCGCTATATCAAATGCAAAGATTATTATTATTCTGTGAAGTGCTTTGAGACATCTCGAAGTGTGATAATGCAAGCATTATTATTATGAGTGGGTTCAGTAGTGTGATCACTGGTAAACCCAGCCTGCCCAATCCTGACGCTGATTTATCTGCTGTTCTCCTTTGACAACAATACACATTGGTCTGGGTCAGGAAGCAGCAGAAATCCTTCATTTACCATCAGCTCCCCTGGACTAGGGAGGGAAATACACACACACACACCCGCAGCCGTGCTCACACACCAAGGCTGTGAATCTGCCGTGAATTAGCTGATACAGTTACTGCAGAACATTCTCGCTCAGCGCATTGGTTAGAGCCAAGCAGCTCAGGGCTGCACAGATTGCAGAGGAGACAAATACCTCATCAGGGGCTGTGACCTCTTTACAACAGATTATTTTATCTAAACTCGACTTATTGGAAAATATGTTTTATTATTTTCAATTTTAAAAAATAAGTAGAGCAGATTTGGCATCCATTCCCAGTCTGTACTTTATGCATCTGGGCTTAAAAACAAAGCCGATATTCACTCCCTTTCTCTGTCTCGCTGTGTGTGTCTCTCCCTCTTCTCTGGCTTTGTCTGGCTGTGTCTCTATTTCCCTTTCTCTGCCTCGCTGTGTGTGTGTGTGTCTCCTGAGCACCCTTTATGTATCTCTCCATTATCTCTTCCTTTCTCTTTGTGTGTGTATGTCTTCTCTCCTCTGCCTCTTAAATTTTATCTCCATTCTGAGCCAAAATGCTAGGCCAAGGAAAGAGATTACTCCTTAGAGCAGGGGGTGTAAATAGGGCTTCACTTAAACAGTAAAACGGGATAATTCTACACGCACTCTAATCTACCGCATTATCCGTTGCATATTGTTGCTATCCCTGCAGCTCAAGCTGTTTAGACAGCTGCAGCCTGAGACTCGCCACTGTGCCTGCAGCCAGCCAAGCGGCACGGGGTGGAGGCCGGTAGAAAGGGCTCCTTAGCATAAGGCTGATTTACATATTTTGTGCCTTCGGTCAGAAAGCTGACTAATGGATTCTTTGGAGCTATTAAATGTACATTTTATGATTCAAGTGAACTCTTTTGGATGCTAAATACACTTGATGTCTTTCTGAGCTCATCTGGGCTTGATTAAGTGTAAAACACAGCGTCACAGATTTGGAATAACTAGTTTTAAATGTTTGTGGGTGTATCTTGGATGGGAAGGGGAGGAGGTAAAGTGAGGTCTCCTCGGGGCTGAGCTGGCTGCCAATGGAACATTGGAATCAAGTTGTCTCTGTGGTGGTCTCAGTATCTGGTTCCCAAGCCAGGCAGGTCTGCAGTACTCCCAAGACACTGTTCATGAAGGATCAGCCAATCTGACTCAACGGCAGGACTTTGAGGCACAGCCTGAGGTCTGTAATAGTAGGATACACGGCTCCTGTTAACCCTCCATGCCAAACCCCTAAAAAGTAGGATGGTCCTAGCTGGACAAGCAACTGGACACTAGACAGCTTAATGGACACTATTCACAATGGTTGTGTGGTTTTAGCTGATTAAACGCTAGCAGTTACACCCAACATAGTCTCTGGGGTTCCTAAGCCTTATACCAACATGGGCCTTAATGCTTTCCTTGATTAGGTAAGCAGGGTGAGTCTCTGGGGAGAGAGTGCACATTCCGTTTCCTGGAAAATTTCTATGTGAAACTTTGGTTTAAAAACCTTAATCCTGGCAAAGGGTTTCCGTGTGTCAGAAACCTGGCTGAGCTTTCTGTTGCTAGAAGGATCTCACTTTGCTGTCCTCTGTGCTGGGAAATGGCTTGTATTCTACACGTGTTGACCTATACAAAAGAAACAACCAAAAAAGGGACATTTAAACCGTATAAGCAACTTTAGTGTAAATGTTCACAAAACACAAGGATGTTACAGCCATTGTATCTCCCTTGTTGCTTTACCCCCTCTGTTCAGAGTTGGCCTTTTGCTTTCAACAACAAAACAACAACAAAATGATATTTATAGAGCACCTTTCACGTCAGGAGGAGGTTCCAAAGTGCTGGACAGTCAGGTGTCGGGGCCCGAGCCTGGGGGAGGGGTGGGGTAGAGGTGAGGGAAGGCAGAGAGGTGGGGGGGCGACCAAAGGCACGATCAAAGAGAAGGGTCTTGAGACTGACCTTGAAGGAGGCGAGGGAGAAAGCGAACGAAGGGACCATGGGGTGGAGTTCCAGAGTATGGGGGCAGAGATGCTGAAAGCCCGGCCACCGACGGTAGGGCGGGAGACAAGGAGCAGGCGGAGCCCACTGAACAGAGGGAGCGGGCAGGTTGGCAGGGAGTCAGCAGGTCAGAGAGGTAGGAGGGGCAAAGCCACGGATGGCCTTAAAGGTGAGGACAAGGATCTTGAACTCGATCCTGTGGGGGATGGGGAGCCAGTGGGGTCGGGCGAGGGTGGGGGTGATGGGGTCACGGAGTCTGGTGCGTGAGAGTACACGAGCTGCAGAGTTTGGATGATCTGCAGCTTGTCAAGGGAAGAGTGGGGAAGGCCGATGAGGAGGGAGTTAATAATAATAATAATAATAATCCTCGCATTTGATATAGCGCTTTTCACGTCTTCTCGACGTCCCAAAGCGCTTCACAGAATATACAGTAAAGTGAATTGACTATGTTTGTGGGCAAACGCGGCAGCCAATTGCGCACAGCAATGTCCCACAAACAGTCGTGGGTTGAAAATGACCAATTTATTATTGTTTTGGGTTTTGGAGGATTATTATTAGGCTCTGTGTGGGGTAAGGAAACTTGCCCGAGGTGCGGAGGCGCTGGCGTGAGCCAATCAGGAGGGCCTCGGTCTTGCTGGCGTTGAGTTGGAGAAAGTTGTCCCTCGTCCAGGACTTGATGTGGGACAGACAGTCAGTCAGGACACCAGTAGTCCTGGAGTTGAGGGTGGAGGCAGAGAGATAGAGTTGGGTGTCATTTGCGTACATGTGGAAATTTACCCCATGTCTGCGGATGATGTCTCCAAGGGGGAGCATGTTGAGGGTGAAGAGGAGGGGACCGAGGACAGAGCCCTGAGGAACACCGCATGAGACAGTGTGGGGACTGGAGGAGAAGCTGGAATGTAACATACACCAGTTACATAAACCAGTTATAAAAACGTGTGGGACTGTCGCTGTGTGTGTGTGTATGTGCATGTTCAACGTCATGGCGTGTGTGATAGTGTGTCATGGTGTGTTTGCGTGTGTGCTTGTATGTGTTGTCTGTGTGTTCTATTGACGGTGGTTGTGTGTGTCAGGTCCACGCTGACTCTGTCCATGTGTGTGCTGTGGTGGTGGAATACATCACGAAAGCCGGACGTACAAACAGAGGCGTTGCCACCACTTGGCTCCGACACCAGATTCCCCCCGAGAACGGGCACAGGCCCACGGTGCCGGTGTACGTCCGCAAGTCACAGTTCCGGCTGCCGTTCAAGCCCAGCACTCCCATCATCATGGTGGGCCCCGGCACCGGCATCGCTCCCTTCATCGGCTTCATTCAGGAGCGAGCGTGGCTCCAGCAGCAAGGTACACCCTGAGCCCCGCCCACACCGAGCCCCGCCCGCCCTATACCCTGAGCCCCGCCCACCCTGTACACTACCCACACCAAGCCCCACCCATCCTGTACCCTGTACCCCGCCCATCCTGTACACCACCCATACCGAGCCCCGCCCTATACCCTAATCCCCGCCCACCCTGTACACCACCCATACTGAGCCCCGCCCATCCTGTACCCTGTACCCCTCCCACCCTGCACCCCTCCTGCACTGAGCCCCGCTCACCCCAAGCCCCACACACCCTATACCCTGAGCCCCGCCCATACTGAGCCCCTCCCCACCTGCACTGAGCTCCACCCACCATGAGCCCCGCCCACCCCAAGCCCCGAACACACCAACACACACAGTAACACACTAACACGCACACACAATAATACACTAACACACACACACAATAACTCACTAACACACACACACAATAACTCACTAACACACACACAATAACTCACAAACACACACACAATAATACACTAACACACACACACACACACAATAACACACTAACACACACACAATAACACACCCACACAATAACACACACACAATAACACACACAAAAACACACTAACACACACACAATAACACACCAACACACTAACACACACACAATAACACACTAACACACACAATAACACACCCACACAATAACACACACACAATAACACACTAACACACACACACAAAAACACACTAACACACACAAAGTAACACACTAACACACTACCACACACACAATAACACACCAACACACACACAATAACACACTAACACACAATAACACACACACACACGTACAATAACACACACACACACTAACACACACACACAATAACACACACACACAATAACACACACGATAACACTAACACACAATAACACACACAATAACACACTAACACGCACACACTAACACACAATAACACACCAACACACACAATAACACACTAACACACACACACTAACACACAATAACACACCAACACACACAATAACACACACAATAACACAATAACTCACACACAATAACACACTAATGCACACACAATAACACACTAACACGTACACACTAACACATACACACTAACACACACAATAACACATACACAATAACACACTAATACACACTCAATAACACAGTAACACACACTAACACACACAATAACATACTAACACACACACACACACATTAACACCCTCACACTCACACTAGGGACTGCAGCATGGCCTGTTCGTCTCACTGCCTGTGGACAGTCGCAGTGGCCTTTGCTGACGGTGCTGTAGAGCAGAAGCGGAGATTGCTGATATTTGGGGAATGTTTTCCAGGGAAGCAGTTGGGGGAGACGGTGCTGTACTGTGGCTGCCGTTTCCAGGCTGAGGACTTTCTGTATCAGGAGCAGTTGGAGCAGTGGCAGCAGGAGGGGGTCCTCACTCAGCTCAACGTGGCTTTCTCCAGAGACCAGCCCAACAAGGTGAGAGATGGCAGAGCATCAGCAGGTCACCAGGGCCAGAGGGAGGCCATATTCAGACTGTTTTTCCAGTGTGTGTTTGTGTTTGCTCTTCCAAGAGGCCATCCACCCTACCCCCATCTACCTGCCCTCCCCCCAAACCCTTCCCCTGGGTGAGCTTGTCCCGAATCTCTTCTGCCCCAACAGCCACCCCAGCAAATCACTCCCCACGACGAGCCCCATTTGCTGTTATTGTAACAGGTGTGATCCCACTCGGCTGAGGCCAGCGCAAAGTTGACTGTTTGTCTCACATCTCCCCTCAGGTGTACGTACAGCATTTGCTGAAGAAAAACAAAGAGAATGTGTGGCACCTGATCCACGATGCGAACGCACATATCTACATTTGTGGGTGAGTTTCAATTGGATGGAAAATGTTATAGAAGGTAATGGGGAATCTTTCAGGCCTTCACTTTGCTCCGTCGTTCACAAGAAGTAGTCTTCAGCAACTGGTGACTGAGCAAAACAATTCCTACATTCCACCCAGAGAGCGAGAGAGTAACCGAGCTGATCCTGTCCTGACACCAACGTTCCCTTCACTCACCAGGAATCCAGCTTAACCTGGGCCTAGTCAACTCTAACCTTGGCCTAGTCAGCTCTAACCTGGGCCTAGTCAGCTCTAACCTGGGCCTAGTCAACTCTAACCTTGGCCTAGTCAGCTCTAACCTGGGCCTAGTCAGCTCTAACCTGGGCCTAGTCAACTCTAACCTTGGCCTAGTCAGCTCTAACCTGGGCCTAGTCAACTCTAACCTGGGCCTAGTCAGCTCTAACCTGGGCCTAGTCAGCTCTAACCTGGGCCTAGTCAGCTCTAACCTGGGCCTAGTCAGCTCTAACCTGGGCCTAGTCAGCTCTAACCTGGCTAACCCAGTAATCTGCGACTGGCACCTTTCTGGGTTGTAGAGCACAGCGCTAGTCACTGAGTTAGAGTTAGAGTCAGTGCTGAGCTCAGCCAGTCACTGGATGAAATCACTGAACAATCAAAGGAGTCACCTACAGTGAATGTTTATCTTGAATGCTCCCACTGAGGGCGAGTGCTGAGAACAATCTGTAGTGTAGCCAACGTCTGCTCATCACATCTTCCATCCTCTTCACAGTGATGCAAAGAACATGGCCCGAGATGTCCAGAACGCTTTCTGTGAGATTGTAGCTGAGCTGGGAAACATGACGCAGACACAGGCAGTGGATTACGTCAAGAAACTGATGACAAAAGGGCGTTACTCCTCTGACGTCTGGAGCTAGAGCAGAGATGGGGGGAGGGTATCTGCGTTCTGTCTGTGCATTAACTGATTGAAAACGGACACGTGACCGGCCGGACAAGGCGGCTGCACAAATCAATGCAAGAGATTTATACAGTAAACCTGCGAGATCATGACTTCAACAATTATTTCTTAAGCATCCTTCAAATTATTCCCTGTAAAATCATTAAGAAAATTAATATTTTGCATTAGAGACTTTTCCTATCATTACTGACCTGAACGACTGACTATTTGAAAAGTTACTCAAACTCACAAATAACTCCAAACACTTCACTTCAACCCAAGTGTTTGTGTGGTTCAGTGCAGCAGCCCTCGATACCTGCCATCAGGATATAGCACCAGATTTTACGTCTACAATTGGTTGACAGCAAATAACTTAGAAATGACAAGCCCATAAAATAGATAAATAAGTGAACTATAATATTGGTTAACAAAATTGCAGGAGAAACTAAACCAAACCCAACATCAATTTTAGCAACAATTTTGATATCTATTGATGTCACCCAAAATGCCCAGTTCTGTGTGGTGCTGATGCAGACTCACTGTGTCCTGCTATTGTCTGAAATTAACCACACAAAGGTTAGTTTTACATTTTGTGCAATTATTTGTAAGATTTATTGATGGCTTTTATACCCGGTGTTGCATGTGCGAGTGAGCAGCTAGGAATATCAGTACACAGTGTAAACTGCATGTCGTACTTTTATATAAGATCAGCAAAATGCTTTCATTTTTATTTGGCAATAATTGTTCTGTTACAATAGAGAACTAAAATCTTAATATACAATGTACTTTTAATTAAAATTTGCAATCTTGTTATTGTCCAGAATGTTGCCTTCGAGTGTGATTCGAGTGCAAGCTTTTCCTCCACTGTGACTGCAGCTCAGGATTCAAGGTTGGGACAAAACGGAAACAAAAGCTGCAGTAAATGTGAAAATCTTGTCCTATCGAGGTATCAATCAGTCAAGGCTATCGAGGTATCAATCAGTCAAGGCTATCGAGGTATCAATCAGTCAAGGCTATCGAGGTATCAATCAGTCAAGGCTATCGAGATATCAATCAGTCAAGGCTATCGAGATATCAATCAGTCAAGGCTATCGAGGTATCAATCAGTCAAGGCTATCGAGATATCAATCAGTCAAGGCTTTAAAGCTAAAATGTTAATCAAATGTTTGGAATCTGGGAGTGAGATGCCAGCGACTGGGATTCAGCTCCAAGGCCAGCAGTGACTCAGTAAAGTGTCAGCCTTGACTTGACACTATTTGAGCTCCAATTCCTGACTTGGGGGCTTGAACCCACAGCCTCCTGACTTGAGAGGTAACAGTTCTAACACCTGATCCAGGCTGACACTCACTGATGCTGATGGCTGTACAATTTCAGTCGTCAGGTCTTGAAACACTTCTCACACACAAGCACACTGATCTCCAATCTCATGAGCCAGTCTGTACAGCTCTGATTCTATCCAGCATGACATAAGATAATATGTAATCACATCACAGCCAAACAAATATATATGCAACCTCTTCAATGAATTGGTAATAATCAAAACATAATTCACTTTTGTCGCTCACAGACTTTTAACTTTTCCTTCTCTTTGTTTCTGTTTCTGGTAAATGACTCTGACGGTTGTCAGGAAGTTTCCAAGGAAAAGGACAAGGAACGCAAAGCCACACATCAACACCTGCAACAAGCAGACAGCTGCGATCAGTAATAATAAGCTTTACATTTGATATAGTGAGCATGTTCACACAGCTCAGCACGTTGCCGAGGCATCAAAGTGTAAAAGTGTAAGACTTTGTGTTTTGTTGGTTAATGAGGTTCAACGACATCCCACAAACAGACATGAAGTGAAAGTGATTTTATCTGGGGGATTGTCAGCCAGGACACCTCCGTCCACCTCCCCACCCTCCACCTCCCCACCCTCCACCTCCCCACCCTCCACCTCCCCAAATAAGAACAAGTTGGTGAATTATTGGCGACGAGGTAGGAGTGTTGAAGTTTAAGAGAGTCACTCGTACGTCACCGGGGGAGGTGACATAGTGTGGAGAGGGGAGTGTGAGGGGGAGGAGAGGGGAGGGGGAGGAGAGGAGTGTGAGGGGGAGGAGGAAAGGGGAGTGTGAGGGGGGAGGAGGAGAGGGGAGTGGGGGGGGAGGGGTGAGGAGGAGAGGGGAGTGTGAGGGGGGAGGAGGAGAGGAGAGTGTGAGGTTAGGGCTTGTCGCCCCCCACGCAGGGTAGTGTCTCAGAGCGCTGGGAGTTGTCCAGTCTGAGAGGAACAGGTTTATTGCTTGAATTGTTCTTTAATTCTGTAATTCCTTTGGATTCATCTTAAATCAGTTTGCATTTCAAAAATAATATTTACCTGCCATTCTTTGCAATCCGGGTGCCCAGTTAGTCTGAACAAGGTGATGGCGTTAGAGAGCTGCCAAAACTGAAAGGAAAGAAGCATCAGGTCAGTTCATACAGCAGCAATGGGCATTTACTGTGCCTTTCACACAGGGAAACATCTGAGAGCACTAAACACAGATGGCCTGGGTACGAGAGGTGGGAAGATGGGAGAGGTGGAGGGTGGGGAGGTGGAGGTTGGGGAGGTGGAGGGTGGGAGGGTGAGGAGGTGGAGTGTGGGAAGGTGGAGGGTGGGGAGGTGGAGGGTGGGGAGGTAGAGGGTGGAGGGTGGGGAGGTGGAGGGTGGGAGGGTGAGGAGGTGGAGGGTGGGGTGGTGGAGGGTGGGGAGTGGAGGGTGAGTGGAGAGTGAGGGTGGAGGGAGGGTGAGGGTGGAGGGAGGGTGAGGGTGGAGGGAGGGTGGAGGAAGGGTGAGGGTGGAGGAAGGGGGAGGGTGGAGGGAGGTGTGGGTGGATGGAGGGTGAGGGTGCAGGGAGCGTGAGGGTGAGTGTGGAGTGAGGGTGGAGGTTGGGGGTGAGGGTGGAGGTTGGGGGTGAGGGTGGAGGGAGGGTGAGGGTGGAGGGAGGGTGAGGATGGAGGGAGGGTGAGGGTGGAGGTGCGGGGTGAGGTTTAGGGTGGAGGGTGCGGGTGACGGTGAGGTTCAGGGTGCGGGTGGCGGTGAGGGTGGAGGGTGAGGTGAGGGTGGAGGGAGGGTTAGGGTGGAGGGTGCGGGTGAGGATGAGGGTGGAGGATTAGGGTGGAGGGTGAGGGTGCATGTGACGGTGAAGTTGAGGGTGCAGGTGACGGTGGAGGGTGCGGGTGACGGTGGAGGGTGCGGGTGAGGGTGGAGAGTGCAGGTGAGGGTAGAGGGTTAGGATGGAGGATGAGGGTGGAGGGTGAGGGAGGGTGAGGGTGGAGGGAGGGTGTGGGTGGAGGGTGCGGGTGATGGTGCGGGTGAGGGTGGGGAGGGTGAGGGTGGGGAGGGTGAGGGTGGAGGTGAGGGTGAGGGTGGGGAGGGTGAGGGTGGGGAGGATGAGGGTGAGGTGAAGGTGGAGGGAGGGTGAGAGTGGAAGTGGAGGGTGAGGGTGGAGGGAGGTTGAGGGTGGAGGGTGAGGGTGGAGGTGAGGTTGGAGGGAGGGTGGAGGGAGGGGAGGGTGGAGGGAGTGTGGAGGGTGAGGCTGGAGGGATGGTGTGGGTGGAGGGAGGGTGAGGGTGGAGGGAGAGTGAGGGTGGAGGGAGTATGAGGGTGGAGGGAGGGTGCGGACGAGGGTGAGGGTGGAGAGTGCGGGTGAGGGTGGAGGGAGGGTGAGGGTTAGGGTGGAGGGTGCGGGTGAGGGTTAGGGTGGAGTGTGCGGGTGAGGATGAGGGTGGAGGGTTAGGGTGCGGGTGACAGTGAGGTTGAGGGTGGAGGTGAGAGTGAGGGTGGAGGGAGGGTGAGGGTAGAGGGAGGGTGGGGGTGAGGTGAAGGGAGGGTGATGGTGGAGGGAGAGTGAGGGTGAGGGTGGAGGGAGGGTGAGGGTGATAGTGGAGGGCGGGTGGAGGGTGAGGGTGGAGGGTGAAGATGGAGGGAGGGTGAGGATTAGGGTGGAGGGTGCGGGTGAGGTGAGGTTAGGGTGGAGGGTGAGGATGAGGGTGGAGGTGAGGGTGGAGGGAGGGTGGGGAGGGGGAGGGTGGGGAGGGGAGGGTGGGGAGGGAGGTGGGGGGGAGGGTGGAGGGACGGTGAGGAGGGTGAGGGTGAGGAGGGTGAGGGTGGGGAGGGTGAGGGTGGGGAGGGTGAGGGTGGGGAGAGTGAGGGTGGGGAGGGTGAGGGTGAGGAAGCTGAGGGTGAGGAGGCTGAGGGTGGGGAGAGTGAGGGTGGGGAGGCTGAGGGTGAGGAGGGTGGGGAGGGTGAGGGTGGGGAGGGTGAGGATGGAGAGGGTGAGGTGAGGGTGGAGAGGGTGAGGGTGAGGGTGGAGAGGGTGAGGGTGAGGGTGGAGAGGGTGAGGGTGGAGAGGGTGAGGGTGGAGAGGGTGAGGAGGGTGAGGGTGGAGAGAGTGAGGGTGGAGAGGGTGAGGGTGCTGAGGGTGGAGAGGGTGAGGGTGGAGAGGGTGAGGGTGGAGAGGGTGAGGGTGAGGGTGGAGAGGGTGAGGTGAGGGTGGAGAGGGTGAGGGTGGAGAGGGTGAGGGTGAGGGTGGAGAGGGTGAGGGTGGAGAGGGTGAGGTGAGGGTGGAGAGGTTGAGGGTGAGGGTGGAGAGGGTGAGGGTGGAGAGGGAGAGGGTGGAGAGGGAGAGGGTGGAGAGGGTGAGGGTGGAGAGAGTGAGGGTGGAGAGGGTGAGGGTGCTGAGGGTGGAGAGGGTGAGGGTGAGGGTGGAGAGGGTGAGGGTGGAGAGGGTGAGGTGAGGGTGGAGAGGGTGAGGGTGGAGAGGGTGAGGGTGAGGGTGGAGAGGGTGAGGGTGAGGGTGGAGAGGGTGAGGGTGGTGAGGGTGGAGAGGGTGAGGGTGGAGAGAGTGAGGGTGGAGAGGGTGGAGAGGGTGAGGGTGAGGGAGGGTGAGGGTGGAGAGGGTGAGGGTGCTGAGGCAGTGGTTGGTACTGGGCTGTGACTGAGGCTGTGACTGAGGCAGTGGCTGTGACTGAGGCAGTGGCTGTGGCTGAGGCTGTGACTGAGGCAGTGGCTGTGACTGAGGCAGTGGCTGTGACTGAGGCAGTGGCTGTGACTGAGGCAGTGGCTGTGACTGAGGCAGTGGCTGAGGCTGTGACTGAGGCAGTGGCTGAGGCTGTGACTGAGGCAGTGGCTGTGACTGAGGCAGTGGCTGTGACTGAGGCAGTGGCTGAGGCTGTGACTGAGGCAGTGGCTGAGGCTGTGACTGAGGCAGTGGCTGTGACTGAGGCAGTGGCTGTGACTGAGGCAGTGGCTGTGACTGAGGCAGTGGCTGTGGCTGAGGCTGTGACTGAGGCAGTGGGTGAGGCAGTGGCTGTGACTGAGGCAGTGGCTGTGACTGAGGCAGTGGCAGTGGCTGAGGCAGTGACTGAGGCTGTGACAGTGGCAGTGGCTGAGGCTGTGACTGAGGCAGTGACTGAGGCTGAGGCAGTGGCTGAGGCTGAGGCAGTGGCTGAGGCAGTGGCAGTGGCTGAGGCTGTGACTGAGGCAGTGGCTGAGGCTGTGACTGAGGCAGTGGCTGTGGCTGAGGCTGTGACTGAGGCAGTGGCTGAGGCTGTGACTGAGGCAGTGGCTGTGACTGAGGCAGTGGCTGAGGCAGTGGCAGTGGCTGAGGCTGAGGCAGTGGCAGTGGCTGAGGCAGTGGCAGTGGCTGAGGCAGTGACTGAGGCTGTGACAGTGGCAGTGGCTGAGGCTGTGACTGAGGCAGTGGCTGTGACTGAGGCAGTGGCTGTGACTGAGGCTGTGACTGAGGCAGTGGCTGAGGCAGTGGCTGAGGCAGTGGCTGAGGCAGTGGCTGTGTATATTTTCTTGGTTGGGATTTCAAGAGTGAGACCGTTTGCAGTGGGGATTTCTGTGTGTTTTTAGGGCAATGGGAATGTTTTGGACGCACTGATTGGGTAACGAGCGCATTACTGCGGGACTGACAGTTAATACCTGACACGGAGGACCGAACCTCGGCCCAACCCACCGAGCAAAGCCACCGGCCGACAGCAGCGCGCGGTGTGGAGTTTTAACCCGGAGTTTATGGAAATAATAATTCGGCGATAAACGGAGAGGGGGAAAAATCGGTGCAATAAAAGGCTTTGCATTTGGTGCAAAAACTCCCGATTTGAAGACTCTACATCAAAACACGCGGTGTGGAATAACCGGTGGAAACTCTGAACCGACCTCCACTCAGCGGTGACCTCCGTCATTCTCTCTCTCTCTCTCTCTCTCTCTCCTGCGGGTTTGGAGCGGGATTTGCGGCGGTGTCCACTGTCCCGGATCCCGGTGTGATGGCTTCTCTGCGGAGAGTGAAGGGGCTCCTCCTCCTGAACCTCGTGGCTGTGCTCGGTTTCCTGCTGTTCCTGGCCCGGTGCAGGGTCCCGGTGAAGGTGGGGGACTCGGTGCCCGCGGCGCAGAGCAGAGCGCAGCTCAGCAACCGGACCGCCCTGAGCCCTCCGCCGCTGCACCAGGTGCTGCTCACACGGCTGTCACTGCTGGAGGACATCGTGTACCGACAGCTCAACGGTAAGGCGCCCCCACCCCCCACCTGCCTCCGCGGGACCGACTTCACTAGGAACTGGGACAGGACCCCAGTGGCTCAGGGACCCCCCAGTGGCTCAGGGACCCCAGTGGCTCAGGGACCCCCAGTGGCTCAGGGACCCCAGTGGGACAGGGACCCCCAGTGGCTCAGGGACCCCCCCAGTGGCTCAGGGACCCCCCCAGTGGCTCAGGGACCCCCCCAGTGGCTCAGGGACCCCCCAGTGGCTCAGGGACCCCCAGTGGCTCAGGGACCCCAGTGGGACAGGGACCCCAGTGGGACAGGGACCCCAGTGGCTCAGGGACCCCCCCAGTGGCTCAGGGACCCCCAGTGGCTCAGGGACCCCCCCAGTGGCTCAGGGACCCCCCAGTGGCTCAGGGACCCCCCAGTGGCTCAGGGACCCCCAGTGGCTCAGGGACCCCCAGTGGCTCAGGGACCCCCAGTGGCTCAGGGACCCCCCCAGTGGCTCAGGGACCCCAGTGGCTCAGGGACCCCAGTGGGACAGGGACCCCCCAGTGGCTCAGGGGGGGCCGTGTGTTTGGTTTCTGGAGGAAACGCCTCCCCATGTGGAACTGGAGAGAGAGAGCGGCGGCTTCTGTCGGCGCCGAAGGTGTGACCGTCTGTTGGTGCACTGTATTGCGGGTTATTTGGTGACCACAGTATTCAGTAAAGTTAGTGACAGAGATCAATGATTGGCCTTTGTTTATGGAACTGAACTTCAGGATCATTGCAGAACTGTGCGTTTTTCTGTGTGTTTTTCACAGTCCCGAAACCCACTTCGTTTCTGCTTCACAGTTGACTTCGATACATTCTCTGGTTTCCTCACCTATGTCTTGTTTCCTCATTAGGTAGATTGGTTATCTACAAAACACAGTCACTACACTGTTACCTGTGAAGTGCTTTGAGACGCCCTCCTTTTGTTTGCATCTTTTTCCCAAAGAAATCGAGCCTATTTCAATAAGAGGTACTGAGATATTTAGCACTAACAACTCACTGCTTGAATTAAATGAATTAATGTGTTATCATTCCTTATGTGAGGCAAAGTGTTTTTTCTGTATAATTACTTTGCAAAATTTCAGGGCATTTTTGGGGTCCTGTTCCTTTTCACGATGTCAAGTTATTTTGGGGGGGAAATACTGCAAAGGTCAAATGGCATTCACAATTGGGGAAAGAAAAAAAGGATACAAGTCTGTTGGTTGAGGGTGGTGGCACTTCATCATCGCAGTTGAGAGGAAAAAATAAGAGTTTTGCATCCTAGTTATGCCCTTCCTTTGGTGAACGAACAAAGAGTACATGTAGTCACTGCACTTTTGAACTCAAGACTGTATGGGTAACAGCTAAAAGATAATATGCATTGTTTGATTAGCACATTCACACCATTGAGGTTATTTTATTTAGAATCTAGTACAATTTGCTAATTCATCTGAGTGCTATTTAAAATGGAGTATAAGTAAAACCTATCGAGCTCCATGCTTATCAGTACATTGCTAGCTATATTTTGGAGTGTTACTTGAATAAAGAAACACCATTTGTTTTGTCTTTGACCGAGCCTTCAGCTCCCCTCTCGACTCTCTTCCCCCTTCTCGCTCCCTCCCATCCCTCCCTCACCCTGACCATTTCCCCCCTCCTCGCTCCCTCCCTCCCCTCCCCTCACCCTGACCATTTCCCCTGCTCGGGTCATGACCCAACTGTGCAGCGCCTTGGGACGTCCTCCTGACGTGAAAGGCACTTTATAAATGGAATCTTGTTGTTGTTGTTGTTGTTCGTGCAGTGATTTTTACAGTGCATTGAAGAAAAGGTGACAGCTGAAAATGCCAATATATTGAACTCTTGTGGATGTTCAGTGTAAGAAATTCAAACGATTCCTGGCAAAGTTTCCAGACTGAGTGTTAGAGAAATGCTCTTTATGGGAAGGGAATATTGTTTTGTACCTTTTTCTGTAGTAGAACCATTTAAGAATAGCTTCAAAAAAAATTAAAACAACAACAAATGACATGTGTATAACGCCTTTCACATCAGGAGGACATCCCGAGCCGCTGGACAGTCAGAGATTTGAACCAGAGCAGGGGTTTGAAATTGGGGATGGGTAGAGGGTACGGTTAGGAGGGTGGCCAAATGCGCGGTCGAAGAGGAGGGTCTTGAGCCGTGCTTTGAAGGAGGCAAGGGAGGGAGCACGAAGGGACTGGGGGATGGAAGTTCCAAACAGTGGGGGCAGAGAAGCTGAAGGTCCGACTGCCGATGGTGGGGTGGGCCGGGCGGGGGACGTGGAGCAGACAGGTTGATATGGGGTTTGCAGGTCACAGCAAGGCTGTGGAGGGCCTAGAGGACGAGGATTTTGAACTCTATCCCCTGGGCGATGGGGA